AAGAGGAAGGCAAGCCACTGGGAGAAAATATTTGCAAAACATGGCTGACAGATACATAGCATTAAAGAATTCCTTATACTCAATAAGACAGACAATCCAGTAAAATAGGCAAAACTTGAACAATATCACCAGGGAGGTGACAAATAGCAAATGAAAATGTTACAGAACAGACCCGGGGTGAATGATATACTATTACCGAATGGAACCTCCCTTTGTACTCCAGAGGAGGTTACCGTACTAGGTTCACCTTTCCTGCAACCAGGGAAGGACGTCTCTCAATGCCAGAGATTGGTAAAAAGGAAAGGAATTACTTATTTAAAAAATAATCGAGAGGGGGGTGGGCTGGGATGGGAGTAAAAAAAATAATACTGTAGTTGAAAAATAATTAAATAAAAAAATTATTAAAAAAAAGTAATCCAGAGTAATGACTTAATGTCTTCATTAAAATACTAAGGTCCTTTAGAATACCCACAGACACACACAGTCCCCCTGCCCAGTCCAGGGTACCGTAGCTCAGGAAAAGAAGTAGAAGTCCATGGGTCAGGCTCCTGGCACCATCAGCTGTGTCACCGCCACGATCTCCAGTTAATCCAAAACCACGTGGCACCTTCTCATGGCCCACCAGCAAGAGTCCCTTTACCCCTTTCCTTCCCAGCAAGCCACATGGAAAAAGGGAGGAACCCAAAGCCACAGGGTCCCAACCATCCAGCATGGCTGCCATACTGGGTTTAAATCCCAGCACCAATCTTCCTCCACATGTCCATGTCCGACTCCTCCCACAATCGGCTACACCTGCAGGCATTCTTGTATTTTTTTCCAGCCTTTTCTTGGCTGCCATAATAAGTCCAGGCAGGCGTAGGCCCCATAGTGTGGAGCCAATCATCTCCAAGCTCTCACACAGGCACTGTAACAGGGGGAGTTGCCTCCCAGTTACCTCTTGGGTGGAAGTCACTCCCACCCCCCCTGGCTCAAAGCATGGCCACAGCTATTTAACAAATCCATGAAACCAGTTAAAACTTATAGATATGTTAAATGACCATGCCTGGGGTTATTTGCAAAACTGTTGCTGTGCAAAACAGCTCTTAATGGCCCTGCTCCATGTGTCCTATCCCCCAGCTCAGACCTGTGAGGGTAAGGACATCCCAAAATTTTTTTAATATTTCCTGGATACCCTGAGTTCTGGACCCCATTACAAATCCTTCTTTGGGGGCCCCCTGGCTATACCCTCTTAGAAAAAGACGCCCAACATTCTTAGCTGTGAGAAACAAAATTAAAAATTACTGTTTAGATACACCCACTAGAATGACTAAGATTAAAAAGATTTACCATACAAATGTCAAGCATGTGGAGGAACAGAAACTCTTTCAATAGCGGTGGGGATGTGGTACAACCATTCTGGAAAAAGTGTGGTAACCTCACAAAGAGGTACACATACGCCTACCATACGGCCCGGGCATTCTACTCCTGAGTACTCACTCGTTCCAGAGAAATGAGAGTGCACGGACACACAAACACTTGCACATGGGTGTTTACAGCAGCTACGCTTGTAAAAACTTCCAAACTGGAAACAACCTAAATTCCCATCAATACTGAATGGAAAAACGAATTGTGGTATTTCCATACCAACAGACTGCTACTCATCAATAAAAGGATGAACTGTTGATAAACACAATAGGAACAAGTATCAAAATAATTATGCTGTAAGAAGCTAGTGCAAAAAAAACCACATACTAAATTGGCCCTGGCTGGTGTAGCTCAGTGGATTGAGCATGGGCCTGTGAAGCAAAGGATCCTGGTTCGATTCCCAGTCAGGGCACATGCCTGGGTTGCAGACCAGGTCCCCAGTAGGGGTCACATGAGAGTCAAGCACACATTGATGTTTCTCTCCCACTCTTTCTCCTTCCCTTCCCCTCTCTCTAAAAATAAATAAACAAAAAATTTTTTTTAATAAATAAATAAATTGGCCCTGGCTGGTGTGGCTCAGTGGACTGAGCACCCGCCTACAACCTGAGAGATTGCAGGTTCCCAGTCAGGTGCCTGGGTTGCCCCCAGATGGAGGCAACCAACTGATGTATCTCTCAAACGCTGATGTTTCTCTCCCTCTCTTTTCCCCTTCCTTCCCCTCTCTCTGAAAGTGAATAAATAAATAATTTTTTAAATAAATAATTTTTTAAATTGCATACTGAATTGTATATACATAAAAATCCAAGAAAATGCAAATGATTCTCTAGTGATGGGAGCAGAGGAAACTTCTGAAGCTAATGGATGCCTTCATTATCTTGAGTGATAATTTCATACATTAGAACATATCAAATTGTACATTATACACATAGGTAGTTTATTGTTCTGGAACAGTTTCCCAGGAGGTGGCCCAGCCACCTGGCTCTGCCTGAGGTATGAGTGCTGCTGGCACCAGGCCTGACTCCTGGCAAGGAGGCCACACTCAGTGGGGCAATTTTGGTGGCTCCCTGTGGGGTTGGGAGGAGGTCTGGCTCCACTTGAGGCCGCACTCTTGCTCCCCTTCAGCCCTTTTCCCTGCCCTGCCCTGCTTCCCTCCCTCCCTGCCTGCAAGGGCACCTCCAATAAATCAAACAAGAGTTCTCACCTCAGGCTCTGCCTCCAGGGCATCCGACCATGCCACCTTACATAAGCTTCACTGAGTTCCCTCCCCTGGAACAAATTCCTGTCTCAGGCTCTGCACAAGACCTGCCCCCAGGAATGACAGCTCCCTGAGGGACTTGTCCCTAGAACAGTGCCTCAACCCAGCAGAGCCCAGCACTTGGCAGGGCTTGGCAGGCAGCACCCCTTCTGTTCTGGGCTGATCTGGCCTGGAGGCATTGTGAGTCATATTGGGTGGGCATCAGGTGAGGGGCTTGTAGACTGGGCCAGGCCTGGGACAGCAGCTCAGCACCTCTAGCACATCCTCCAGGTGAGGGACGACATGCAGCTTGGATTCTCGGGGAAGGGTCCTCTGGGAGGATGCCACCTCAAGGGTGAGCCTGGTTGCACCTCTTGGGTCCTCTGCAGGCTTCTGAAGGTGTGTCCCTGAGCCGCACCCAGGGGAGAGCACCACCCAGCCGCTACCCAGCTCTATGTGAGGAGTAAGTGTATGTAATGAAGGCACAACAGAGGGCCCTGCTCCAGGGTTCTTTCCCTTTTCACACTTCATGGGAAGAAGAGGAACTTAAAACAGAGCTTTCAGTCCTCTTCTTACACACAACAGAATCAGCATTCACGGGGGGGGGGGGTACTTTAGCTCCCTGAGGAGCTAAAGCACAACTTTAGCACAACTCCTGTTACCTCGAGTCCGAAGCAGAGGTTCTAGCCCCTGGCATGTGCCCCCAGGATGTCGCTGGACTATCTATGGGCGTGCCCCAGCTTCACCAACAGCATCTGGAAGGCAGTCACAGCCTGGGACCCCCCTGCCCAGTTCGAGGTTATAGAATAAGTGAATGATGAGGGCAACTGTGCTGTTGGTTACACTAGACCGCCTACCAGACACTCTGCAGACCCAGATGCATCCCTGGCCTTGTAACCCTTCCGCGGTGCCCTTATCCCTCTGTCCCACTCCCTCTTCTGCTATTCCCGCTGAGCACTGGGCACCAAGCCCAGCTCAAGGTCCTCCTTGCCTCTAGAACACTTAACCTTGCCTGGCTTTCCACTCTGCCTGCAGGCTCTCCCTTATCCACACCCAATACACCTGGCAAAGTCCTGCCCGTTTTTGAAGGACCTATATCTGCTATTCTTCCATCCTCCCAGCCCCATAACCACTCCCAGCAGCCGCCCAGTCTTTAGAGAGCAGGGTCTGATCCAGAGTGGTCTTTGGGGAAGGTGGCTTCGGGGGAACTGCTGCTAGTATGACCAGCAGGGATGGGTTTCTCAGTGGCCCACATCCGCCTTGCGGTCTGAGGGGGCAGCCAGCACCGAGCGGGCTGCTCACCCGGGTCCTTGCTCCCTAGCAGTGACCCTGGCTCGCTTCCATCATTCAGAACATCAGAGGTCCCAAGGCAAGGGTGCAACTCCGGCCACCAACGTCCTAGCGGCTCCGCTCTGGGCACCCACGCGTCTGCCGGGGCCCACCTGGTCCTCGACCTGGAGGCCTTCCGGTGGCCGGCCGCGTACCACGCCAGTCGCCTGTGGGAGCAGCTACGGCAGTTCTGGGCCGACCACTTCTCGCGGCGCTTCTCGCCGCGGCGCCCGCCTCTACGCCGCATCTCCTCCATGTCCACCTTCTACCTCATGGAGCACAGCGCGCGCCAGGCCGAATTGGGCCTCAGCTACGACGCGCCGCGCACGCGCCTGGACGACCGGGCGTTCGTGTTCCGCGGCGGTCGCTGGGCGGCAGAGGGCCCGCCCGGGCGGTCCTGGACGCGGCTGCGCCCGCCGACCGCCCCAGGCGGAAAGGCACAGATGCCGCGCGTCCGCAGCCAGGAGCTGCTGGAGGAGAACAACTACCTGCGGCTGCAACAGCAGGTGCTCATGGACATGCTGACCGAGACCACGGCGCGCCTGCAGCTGCTGGAGAAGACGCTGGACCGCGAGGCCGGCTCGGAGGACACGGCGCGCGCCTGGCAGGCGCGGAGGCGTGGGCGGCGCGCTCGCGCTGCAGACTCGGAGACGCAATAAATCCGTGCGGCGCACGCTCGCCTCCAACCGCCCAGTGGTATTGGCTTGACTTGGGGCTCCTCGCGGTTGTGGGAGGGCTGCGCGCCTGTGGGGTTGGTCTCCCGTTGCCTGGTGTGGACAGGTGACTCGGACGGCAGCTGGTCTTGGGTGGGGTGAGCCTGGTTGCACCTCTTGGGTCCTCTGCAGGCTTCCGAAGGTGTGTGCCTGAGCCGCACCCAGGGGAGAACACCACCCAGCCGCTACCCAGCTCTATGTGAGGAGTAAGTGTATGTAATGAAGGCACAACAGAGGGCCCTGCTCCAGGGTTCTTTCCCTTTTCACACTTCATGGGAAGAAGAGGAACTTAAAACAGAGCTTTCAGTCCTCTTCTCACACACAACAGAATCAGCGTTCACGGGGGGGGGGGGACCTTCCTCCGTGGAGGAAGATTTTGCGTGACTCGCTGGGAACGCGCAGTGGCTCTCAGGCTTGTAGCGGGTAGTGCGGCAGTGTAGGAGGTAGGGGGAGTAGCATTCTTGGCCCTGGGGACGCAGGGCGAAGTCCGATAACTTGGGGCGCTCAGGGGTGGAGGGTGCGGTGAGTTGGGCGGGGCCGGACGGGGTCGGGGATCTTGCACTTGGCAGTCAGCCTCCAGGCTAGCGGGAGGGTTTTCAGTCTGAGTCCCGGGTAAGTGTATTTTATGACCAGGAAACTGTTCCAGGAAAGAAGCTGTCTGGAAACTTAGGACTCTGCCTCCCCCACTTGGCTGTTTGGTTTTGGGCGAGTTGCTTCTCCGCTGCAGGCCTCCTTTTCTTCTCTTTGGAATACACGCATTCTCCAGGGATAATCTTGTACACAGACAGGATTTGCTCAACCCGCGTTGTTTTACTTACTTATTATTTGCTGATTTGAGAGAAAGAGAAAAACATCGATATGTTGTTCCGCTCATTTATGCATTCACTGTTTGCTTCTTGTATGTGCCTTAAGAAGCGATCAAACTCGCAACCTTGGTGTCTCCAGAGGATGCTCTAACCAACTGAGCATCTTGGCCAGGCCCAACCCACCTTATTTTAAAATTTTGCATTAGTTGCCAACATTTAAGAATCTGGAGTTATTTATCGGTTAAAACCCAGATTTCCTGTGTTCCCTGGAAAATCCAGAAGTCCTGGCCGCCCTGGACCTTCATTCTATCCAGGAACAGGTGGTTGATCTGAATCATGGCTGTTCTCACCTGGGCCTGGGCCATTTCACGCCTCTTTCCTCCTGTGCACTCTGATTGGGATCATGCTGTAGAGCCGTTCTAGATTGCTGTACGCTCCCACGCTCCCAGGACATGGGGCTGTCCACGACCCCAATACACACACCCAAGGTATAGGTGCCATGTGTAGTACTTTGTACTTGTGAGTGATGTTACGCAACTTGTGGTTGTCTAACAAAGGTGATAACACCGGTCCCTGCAATCTGCAACCTTTCTTTCCCTTGGAATGGAGACAGGCCACTTTGGGTCCCACGGGAAACTTGGGTTGATAGGGCTCAGACCCATTTCCCTAGGGCCATGTGAAACCCGGGAGAGTAGTAGGTGTCCTGCTTTCAGGAGTAAACTAGAGTTTACTAAACCCTGTATTGTCGACTGAAGGTCAAAGGTCATTGGTGCCAATTCAACACCAACAGAAGTCCCCAATTTGGGGTGCAGTGAAGGGAGAGACTTTATTCAGTGCAAACAGCTCAATCAGTGAGCAGCACCGCCATGGAACGCCGGTTGGCTCCTGGGAGGTAGATTTACAGCCCAGGAGGAGCTCCTTTGTAAGGGTGGGCCCAGCTGGCAGGAGCGCAGGGCAGGAGGCGGCTCCTCAGAGCAGCTTTTTCATGAAGCGCAGAGAGCACCCCCTGTTTGGCAACGACTATAGGCAATTTAAAGCTTTCAGCTCAGCCCCCAGAAGTCTGTCTTAAAGGGCCCATCATTCCCGGTATCCACAGTATAAAAACGCCCTTATTTAGTAAATTAGTAAGAAAACACAAAATGTCATTAGACATACCTTAAAAATACTTCTACTGAACAGTGCTCTTTTATATTTTAATTCTGATTCTGTATATTAATATATATTGAATTAAAAAATTTTAAATTCTTATAATTGTGAAATAAGATTTCCTTTTATATTTATTTTATATTTTATTTTATTTATTTATTTTTAGAGACCGGGGAAGGGAAGGAGAAAGAGAGGGAGAGAAACATCAATGTGTGGTTCCCTCTCACGCGTCCCCTACTGGGGACCTGGCCTGCAACCCAGGCATGTGCCCTAACTAGATTTCCTTTTAAAATAACTAAGGAAATAGCCCTGGCTGGTGTGGTTCAGTGGATTGAGCCCCAGCTTGTGAACCAAATGGTCACTGGTTTGATTCCCATTCAGGGCACATGCCTGGGTTGAGGGCCAGGTCTCCAGTAGGGGGCCCATGAGAGGCAACCAACCACATACCAATGTTTCTCATCATCTCTTTCTCCCTCCCTTCCCCTCTCTAAAAATAAATAAATGAAATCTTTAAAAGAAATAAAGAATAAATAACTAAGAAAATAAAAAATATACAGAAAAGAAAATGGGAAGGGAATCAAAATGGTGCACTAGAAAAACAAAACACAAAAGAAGGCACAAATGGAGCAACTCTATTAAGTGAAAGAAACCAGACACAAAAGATGATCTTCTATGATTCTGTTTCTATAAAATAAGCAAATCCAAAGAGCAGATTGGTGCTTACCAAGAGCTGGGGGAGGTGGAGAAAAGTGTTGCGCAGGGTTCCTTTTAGGGTGAACAGTTTTTGGCACTGTAGTGGTAATGGTTGAACAGCATCATGGCTGTTCTGAAACCCACTGAATTGTACACTTTAAAATAGTGAGTTTTGGGGGGGGGTGTGGGCTGGGATGGGAGTATAAGACAGAAAACTACTTGAACAATAAAAAAATAAATAAATAAATAGTTTTAGCCCCTGGCTGGGTAGCTCAGGTGGTTAGAGCACCGTCCTGACATCCCAAGGTTGCTGACTGAATCCCCAGTCAGGGCACATACTGAAATCAACCAATGAATGCATAAATAAATGGAGCAACAAGTCGATGTTTTTCTCTTTCTAAAATCAATAAATAGAAAAATAAATGAAATAGTTTTATGTGAGTTTAACCACAAAAGATGTTTTAAAGGAGGCAAGTGCTTTACAGATAAACATGAAGTGAGAACTACATGTGATATGGAGGCCATCCAAGAATGACTGGAGTTCAGGGACGGCTGTTCTCAGCCAGCGCCCGCCAGACCAGCAGCAGGCAGGGGCCCCCAGGTTGATAAAGGCCCCGATACAATGAGGCAGAAGGAAATGTTGACATATCTTTGTCCTTTCTGCTCCTGAATGTCACCCCCTGACTGAGGTGGCCAAGGAAGGATGTGACAGAGCAAAAAGAGGAACAAAGGACTGTGACTTTCACTGCCTACTACTCACAACCCTCTGGGGAACACACTTTGCAGAAATATTTTTGGGCCTGAGGAGGGAGGGCAAAAAGGCTGCAGATTTGTCTGCAGTGAGAGGAAAGATGAAGGGAAGCGGAGGCAGAGGTCCGGGTCGGTCTCCCATCTTGGAAAAGCCCTCTTCGACTCTGCATCAGCTTCTAGCTGCTGCCCCGTTTCTCCGTTTCCCTTTACAGCTAAACTCCAAGAGTTGCTTTTATTCACTGCTTCAGTTCTTCCCCTCCCTCTTTGCTCTTAATCCCCCTCAACTTCAGACTTCTCCCCCTCCTCCCACTCTCTGCAGCCTGCTGGATGCCACTGACCTCCAGTGCTGCCAAGTCCCTTGGCCAGTTCTCCAGCCTCATATTGGCCCACCCCCCAACGAGCAGTACAGTGTGCAGCTCACTCGGCCTTGAAACGCTGTCTTGTCTTCTCAGCCCCACGCTCTTCTGTTCTGCGTGCCCTCCTGCCTTGCCGAGGCTCCTTCTCAGTGTCTTGCTGATTTTTCTCACTTTCACTTCCTTCTGCTGTCTGCTTAAATGTTACCTTTTCAGTGGCATTTTCCCTGATGGCTTTATTTAAAAGTGTGTCTTTGCCCCACTCCCAACCAGCACAAATTACCCTCCTTCCCTGCATTGTTTTCTAGCATCTGTTACTATTTGATGTGCTCTATATTTTATTTATTCCCCCCACACACACACACGAATGTAAACTCCATAGGGCTTTCTGTTCTCTCCATCTCAGTGTAGAAGTACTTAACACTTACCAGGCCCCCTCCAAATAGTTCTATAATGAACAAAGGTCCAGAAGAGAAAGTACCTGCGTCCCTGGAAGTAGAAGTGCTTGGCCTTTGGCCTTGCCACAGATTCCTGATCCCCTAGGTGTGGGGAAGGTGTAGCAGGTGCTTTGGAGCTTCCAGATTCATCTGATCAGCCCACCTCCGATTTTAGCTGCGGCACTAGTGCTGGCAGTGTACACAGTCGGTGCCTCATTTTCAGCTTCTGCTGTGGGGTCTCTGCTTTTCTGCTCCCAGGCTTTCCCCAAAGCTGCAGGGGCTCTCTCCACCCATGGGCATAGCCTGGGAGTGCCTTCTGGAAAGGAAGGGACACAAGTCGAAACCCACTTTGTTGAATTTCACCTCTACCCTTTGTCATTCTCATACTCCCTCTGGTTTCCTGGAATCAGCCACCAAATAAAGTGCACCCAAACTCCAGGCTGAGGAGCTGCTTTCACGAGGATCCAAGGATCCGTTGGAAGACAGCATGAAGTTCTGCCTCAGAAGCCCAGCCTATGCCATTCTGAAATGGTTGTGAGGGGTCCCATTGCCCACTGCCAAGAAGTGCAGCTTCCAATGCCAAAGTTTGGTGAAAAGGAAAAATTATTTATTTAAAAGTTATACAGATTTAGAATGCACCACCAAGTCCTGCTCCCTTTAAAACCCCCCCACAAACACATGGTCCTGACCCCTTTGCCAAACGGGGCTGGAAGTCCACGGCTCAGCACTCCCAGTCCCAGTTCAGCATTCAGGCGTCTCCCCTGAATCCGGCTCCACTGGACAGGCCCCGCAATTCCCAGAACCACGAGTTGTGCAGCTGTGTTCTCCAGCTCTTAATCCAAAACCACACAGCACCTCCTTTCACAATAGATCTCACGGTGGGCCGGTGGGGCCCCTTCTTGGTAGAAGCCCTACTTGCTCTCAAACTGCATGGCAGAGAGAGAGAGAGAGAGAAAGTGTGCGCACGAAAGAGCGCGCGGGAGACCACGAACCTCATGGCTGCCAGGCCTAGTTTAAATCCTGGCCTGGAGCTTCTGGCGGGTCCCCATTTTCAATTCTTCCCACAGTAGGTTACATCTCCCTGTTCTTTGTACAGTTCATTTTTTTTTTCGGCTGCCATTATCAGTCCAGGCAGGTATGGCCTGGTGACACAGGGCAAACTGCTTTCCTGCCTCTCAAGCAGGCGCTGTGAGTGCCCTGGCCCCCTACATCACAAGCCCCGCCCCCCGCCTCCCCCCACCAAAAGTCAAAGTCACACCCGTCTGCCTGGCTGCCACAGATATGCGGAGCGCCTCTCAATGGTTGTCCTCCACTTCCCCCATCCCCCAAGCCAGGTTCCTGGGGGGCATCTAGCTCAGCACCCCGTTACAGTAATGCTAGAAGGCCAGCTGTCAGGGTGGGAGGCGGGAACCTGATGGCTCACTGTTCAGAAGGCAGCAGAGGCCTCTCCCCACTGCTGGGGAGTGAGTGGGGTGGTGAGACCTCCACTGTCCGGAAGCAGGAGACAACCTCCGGTGGGCTGCAATGAGAAGTTGAAGGGAAACCTTGGCTGATGTGGCTCAGCGCATTGAGTGCCGGCCTGGGGACTGAAAGGTGGCAGGTTCAAATTCCACTCAGGACACATGCCTGGGCTGCTGGCTGGTTCCCCATTTGGGGGTGCACAAGAGGCAACCAATTGCTGTATTTCTCTCACATCGATGTTTCTCCCCCTTTCTCCCTCCTTTCCCCTCTCTCCAAAAATAAATAAAACCTTTTAAAAATAAAATAAATATACATCTTAGCCATTTTTAAGTGCCCAGTTAGGCGGCATCAGGCACATTCGTACTGCTGTGCAGCCATCTTGTCATCTCCAGAACGCTTCCTCTCCCAAAGCCGAAACACCGCACCCATCGAACAACAAGGTCTCATCTCATGCGTCCCTGGCCTCTGGTGACCGCCACCGTGTTTTCTGTCTCTCTGAATTATGCAAGGGGAATCATACAATACTGGCCTGCGACTGGCTCATTCACTTAGCATAATGTCCTCAAGCTTCATTTGTGTTGCAGGATCTGTCAGAATTTCCATGTTTTTGAGGATGAATAATAATCCATTGTGCGGCTAACCCACATTTTATTTATCCAATCATCCGTGGGTAGGCTCATGGGCTGCTTTCATCTTTTGACTATTGTGTGTAGTGCTGCTACGAACATGAGTGTGCAAATATTTCTTTGCAAACCTACTTCCAATTCCTTAGTGTACATACCTAGGAGGGGAACTGCTGGATCATATGTTAAGTTTTTTTCTGGAACCTCCACACCGTGTTCCATGGTGGCTGCACCATCTGACATTCCCGCCAACAGCGCACCAGGGTTCTAATTTCTCCATGCCCTTGTCAACACTTGTTTTTAATTAATTGATTTTAGAGAGAAGAAGGGAGAGAGGGAGAAACATCAATTTATTGTTCCACTTACTTATGCATTCATTAGTTGATTCTTGAATGTACCTTGACAGGGGATCGAACTGAGTTGATGCTCTGGGCTACAGGTGTGTGTGTGTGTGTGTGTGTGTGTTTTAAAGACCTTATTTATTTTAGAGAGAGGGGAAGGGAGGGAGAAAAAGAGGGAGAGAAACATTGATGCTGGAGAGACACATAAACTGGTTGTCTCTTGCATACTCACAACTGGAGGCCTGGCCGGGAATAAAACCCGAAACCTTTCTGTTCACGGACTGGTGCTCAACACCGTACATGCGGACTTGTTTTTTTAATAGTAGTCATACTAATGGGTCTGAGCTGGTATCTCATTGTGGTTTTGTGTTTCCTGTAATTTGCTAATATAGTTAATACTGCATTGAAAATTCTCGTGCATAAGATGGGAGGCTCACTTTTGCTTATAACAGAAATTCGAAATAAAAAGGCGTCATTTCTCAGCTAAAACCTGCAGGTCTGCAGCACACTCTGCTGGCGAGACTGCAGGGAGCTGGCATTCACACACATTGCAGCGGAAACGCAGATTGGCACAACCTGCTGCTTATGGAGACTGGAAATCGTGCAGCAAAGTTGCATGTGCCTTCATCTCTAAGCGGGTAATCTCACTTCTCAGAATCCCTCCCAAAGCTTTTTATTGTTGGTCTGCATTTCCCCCCACCCACCCCACCTTCAATCCTTCCCTCCTTTAGCTGTGTCCATGGGTCCTTTATACATGACCCTGCCCCCTCCTTTTCCCCCTTACCCCGCTTCTCCCTCCCCAAAGCTCACTGTAGTAGAAGCGGCCCTGAAGTGAAGAGCGCTGTATCAGTCATGGTTGGTTCCCTAGGTTCCCCGTGTTTCCCCCAGGTCCCTTTCTTGGGTGGAGTTCTGAGGTCAGTGTACCTCTTTAGACGCTCTCGCTCACCTTTTCTCACTTCTAGTTCCCACTGGGAGACCATCCTGGGCAGGCTGTGCAACTGGACAGACTCTCTCCTCCGACCTGAGGCCCATTCCGAGGCACATTGCATAAAATTCCCCCACTGTGTGGGGGATCACCTTGGTAACTGTGGGGGCTGGTGTTGGCTCGCTCTCTTCCCCTGGTCACTTACACTACTCACTGTCATCTCCTAAATCAGGTCCCCCAGGCTCTGCTTTCAGGGAAAGCAAGGCCAAATCAGACATACAGTGCATTCGATCCAATTAACACAAGTTCACAAATTTGTCGATCAGTATGTTTAGAATTTAAAGAGCAGAGTTTAAAACGAGAAACAAAAATCTTTATCCTGTCCTAGTTCCATTCCACACGGGAATCTGTGATAATAGCTTGAAACCACTTCCCCAGACTGAATCACCTCCCCAGGTCCCGCCACACACAGCCTTCCCCCGGCTGGCGTTGTAGCGCTGGCTGGAGCGCCCCCTGCTGGCCACGCGGGCCCGGGCCAAGCTGCGCCTCCTGCGGGGGCTCCACCTGTCCTGAGTGGGGTGGGCTGGGGGGTTGCATTGGTTTGTTCCAATGGGCCGCTGAGGCGCTTTGAGAATCTGGGTGACTGCTCTCCCTTGGGTGCTTCGCCAGCCAGAATTCAAGGGCTTCTCCCCTAGATTGCAGCTCCTGTAGTACTCCTTTTGGCCCAGGTGCCCTTGGCCATCAAACTGGCTGGATTGGTGAAAGAGGCAGTGGATGTGGACATGCCTGCAGTCCACTTCTGCTCTGCCCACTCGCTGGCTTTCTGACTGTGCACGTCCCTGTCTCGTGGAGATGTGGGATTGCTGAGAGGCCCCACTGAGGCAGAAACAGTGAAGCGCCCAGTTTTGAGGTCTGGCCGTGAAACAGTCACTGAGAATGCCTGAACTTGATACCCTCCCTCCTCTCCTCCCCATTCCGGCTCCACAGCTTGTGACTGTCCCTCCTTGTGGCCGTGACTGTCACTGTTTGGTTCCTTATGCTCAGCTGGAAGGTGCCCTCAACCACTCCCTCCCACACCACTTCCACGGACTTTGCCCTTGAGCCTGTCAACTTGCTTTCCTTCATCTGTTGTACTAGCCCAGGGTCATAAACTCACTTCACTCAGTAATAACTCAACTCTGAAATAAATACTGAATTCCAGGACCCAGCACTGGTCTCACCAGACAGCAGGCTCAGCCCTGAGTGGGGAAGCTGGGCGGGAGGTGGGTGGGTGGGTGTGGAAGGTGAGGAGGCCAGGTCCCGGTGCAGCAAGGGTGTGGGCCCCACCTGTCTCCTGACTGGCTGATGGATCGCACAGATCCTGACTGAGGCGAACTGTTCAAAGGCTAAATCAAATGTTGGGGTGCTACCAAGCTGTTTCCTACTTGTCAGCTGCGAGCCCCATTCATATTGAAAGGAAATAGTAATCTTGCCCTGTAAAGGTGGCAATCTAGATTTAATTTAGCGTTTTGGCTAATTCCTCCATCTTCCAAATTTTCTTCTTTTTCCCCTTCTCATTCTGCTGCAGACACTAGATTCCCTGTGTAACCCTAGTCCTTGCTCCTTTGCCAACAGAACTGTGACTGGGTCCCACCCTCAGAGCCATCCCCTTTCTGGTTGAGGGATAAATCCAAATCTTAACTTCAGGTATTCCTGGCAGAACCATCTCCCAGGCCTTGGTTGTCTGGGGCTGACCATGTGACCAAGTCTGACCCAGGAGACTAGACCTGGGGATATTAGACTTGGGGCTTGTTAAAGAGAAATACAAGTAAAAAAGAAGAAAAGACGAAGGGAAGAAGGAAGTAACAGAGGTAAAAAATTTTGATTTGTTACCCACACCTTCCCTCCCCCCCCAAAAAAAAGAATCCAGGCCCAGATGGCTTCACTGGTCCATATCATCAAGCAGAAATAAACATCAGTCTCACACAAACACTAGTGGAAAACAGAGGAGGGGGCACACTCCTGGGTTGGTGCCTTTGCGGAGGCCAGCATTGCCTGGGACAGAATGTGGAAAAAATCATTACCAAATCTGGCAAAAGAAAATTGCACACCAACAGCCCTTGTGCATACAGACTTACACATTCTGATAAAACATTAGCAAATCAGATCCAACATTATTATGTGAAAAGATAACACATCACAACTGAGTAGTATTTATTCCAAGAAAGCAAGGCTGCTTAATATTTGAAAATCAGCCAATGGATAGTTTTCTCACTCTGCATCCTTGCCAGGCCTGGAGATCTTAAATCTATAAACATTAATTTTTTTAAAATTTATGTTTCAGGGCCCTGGCTGGTGTAGCTCAGTGGATTGAGCTCGGGCCTGCGAACCAGACAATCGTGGTTTGATTCCCAGTCAGGGCACATGCCTGGGTTGCAGGCCGGTTCCCTGCGGGCCAGTTCCCAGCAGGGGATGCACAAAGGGCAACCATACATTGATGTTTCTCTCCCTTTCTCCTTCCCTTCCCCTCTAAAGATAAATAAATTAATTAAAAATAAATAAATAAATAAATAAATTTATGTTTTAGGAGAGGGAAGGGAGGGAGAAAGAGAGGGAGAGAAACATGGATGTGAGAGAGAAACATCAATCAGTTGTCTTGCTCACATGCCCCAACCAGGAACTGAACCTGCAACCCAGGCACCTGCAGTGACTGGGAATAGAACCTTTTGCTTTGTGGGACAATGCCCAACCTCTCCACCCTGGTTAGGGCTAGAT